CGCCGGCTCCGCCCCCTCCCCCACCGCTCCTCTCAGCCGCCTGGATCCCCGAACCCTGACTCCACCCCTGCTTGCCCCAGTACCCCGACGATGGGGACCCGCCCCCCAGGGGTACCTCTCCTCGCACCCCCAGGACCGCCCCTTCCCAGATCGCCCCCACCACCTCTACACACAGTAGGGCGCAATTAAATATTTGTTGCTAGACTCTACCCCGCCCAAATTGGATGGTGAGAGCTACAGACTCCTGTCCTATCCCCCCAAACACACGCGCGCGCGCGCGCGCGCGCGCGCACACACACACACCTTCCTCCGAGGCACAGGTGCAGAGAGTCACTAGCTGGCCCTGCCCCTGCAGATATCTCCACATGTACATTCTCTCCAGGGCATGCAGGGCTCTGAGTGTACATTACCATGAACACACCCAGCTACATCATGTACGTATCACACCCGCGTGCCGGAGCATGCACACGGCAGAGCACACGCATCTACCCAGCCCCCACACACGGGCACGCAGCCGGCTGTGCTTGCTCAGAACTCCAGCTCACACGGAACCCTGAAACAGAGACACAGAACTGGAGGGAGATGTGTGCTTGCATCTCCATCATACTCACCCACCTGGCCCTCCGTCATGAAGGTGTGCACACGCCCATGTAGAGGCGCGACCCTGCGCCTTCGCTCCCCTCCGTGAGGATTAGTGCTGACATTTTCTGAGCGCTCCCTGTGCGCCAGGCTCTGTTCTGGATTTACTCTTCAGCTTCTCACACCAGTCCTCTGGGCTGCGGACTTGCGCCATCCCCATTTACCAGAGGAGGAAACCGAGGCCCAGAGAGGTTAAGTAACTTGCCCAAGGTCACCCAGTTAGAAAGAGGTGGTGGATCAGAGGCAGGTAGCCTGACTCAGAGTCTTCAGACTGCTGTGGTCCAGTACTGGGCACTCCATAGCTGCCTGTCCTTCCTCCTCACACGGATACCCCCAGCCATCTCAGCAGCTCAGCTCCTTGGTGCATGGGACACACCCACAGAGACGGGGCAGATCCCGTAGGGCAGCGGTGAGAGCATCGCCGCAGCCCGGGCTCCTACCCTTCTCCCAGCTCCAACAGGGCCACCAGCCAGAGCACAGACACCTGCAGAGGGCAATTCTAAGCAGCCTGTGGGTGCACCTCCAACCACAGGCTCGCGGGTACCACGGTATGAGCTGGAGCAGGTGCTGGCCCAGCCCCAGGAGGCCCGGTTCCGGACGCACATCCACCGGCCCAGGTGGTGAGCAGCTGGGCCTGGGGAGAGAACAGCTGCCCGTGTTGGCACCACCTGTGAGAGGGGCTGTGTACCCTCCTACGGCCTACAAGGCCTTTCCGGCCTGTGTATTCTCTCTCAGTGAGGGGTCCTCAGGTCCTTCATGGGCGCCTGAGACAGGCTCAAGCTCTGAGGTGGTGGGCAGCCTGCTTTCTTGGAAAATGGAAGGCTGGATGCAATGATTTCCAAGGCTCCTCCTAGGGCTCCCGGCAGCTGAGGGCAGATGCCCTGCTTTTGCTTAGAGCCAGAAGCTTTGGCTAGCTGCCGCCACGCTGGTCACCTCCAGCAGGCTGAGCCGGCCCCTCTCCGAGCCTCGGTTTTCTCCCTTGAAGAGTGGGCCCTGTGATCCTGGCCCGTGAGCTCCACGTTCTCTTGCACAACCAGCCAGGCTGAGGCTGGGAAAGCCCTACATGACGCACGGGCCTGGCATAGAGTGGGCATGGCCTGCCCTCCTGCTTCCCTTGCCTCTGCAGCCTCTCTTCCACTGCCTTCCCCACCTCTACCCTGGCTGCCACCCCTACCCCCAGCGCCACGGGGAACTCGAGTTGCCACCTAAACACAACCATCCAGCGTTCAGTCTTCTGGCTGAGCTGCTACCCAGCAGGAAAAACTTCCTTCCTCTCTCAAATGATTGAGTACCTACTACGTGCGGAGTTGGCCCTGGTCTACCTCTGGGGATACAGCAATGAACACAGACGCCTGCCTTCATTGGCGGGAGACAGACACTGAACAAGTAAACAAACAAACAAGGCAATGCCAGTCTTGATTCAGCCAAAAAGATAAAATGAGGTGTTTGAATAAACTAACTTGGGGAAGGCCGCTCTGAGCTGAGACCTCAGTGATAAGAAGGAGCTGGGGGAAGAGCCTTCTAGAAGGAGGAAAAGGCTAGCGCAAAAGCTCTGAAGTGGGAAGGAGCTTAGTGTTCAGGATGCAGCGAAGAGGCCAGTGTGGCTGGAGCTTGTGGAGGGTGGGGGCGGGATGGGGGCAGTTAGGGCGTGAGGGGAATGGGGGTGATGAGCTTGCGGAGGTGCAAAGGACCCATCCTTCCCAGCCCCCACTGCTGGGCAGGCCAGGCCTGTGCAGAGGACAGGGCTTGGCTTCCCTCCCACATATGATGGGAAGCTGGGGGGAGCAGGGGAGTGGGGAGTGATGTGATCTGATTTATGGTGGTTTGGATGCATTGCTCTGGCTGCGGCAAGCTGTGTGGACTGGAGGGGCTTGGGAGGAAGGAGGGGGAGAGGCAGGAAGAGGTGACTGCAGTGGTCCAGGCGGGAGATGAGGTACCTTGCTGAAGGCTCAGAGTTCTCTGTGCACCCAGCCTGGCATCTGTCTACTCCACCTCCCGGAAGAAGCTTTCCTGACCCCACCCACCCAGCCTCTCCCCTCCCCTCTGCCCCAGCCCATCACCCTGTGGGTCTGTCTGCTGGTCAGTGAACAGCTGGAATCCCTAGCGTCGCCCCACCCCAGGACCCGGCCTGCGGGAGGTTTCCAGGAAAGCAAGGCAGATGGATCCAAAAGCCCCACCTTCTAGGGCTGCACACACAGCCACACGCGTGCTCTTCGCATGTGTCCCCACAGACAGGCACAGACACTCATCTGCATCTGCGGCAAGGGCTTGGAGGGCAGGATGGGAGATCTGGGGACAGGAGGCGGTCTAGAGCTTGCGAATGGTGGGAAAGCCTCCTCCCGCAGGGTGTGTGGGCCACGGTGGCTGCAGGATAATAACAACCTTAGCAAGACCTTGAGGTCTCCCCTGTCCTGAACGCTGGCCAGGGGGAAGAGAGGGGAGCAGGGCCCAGCCCCGACAACTCCCTGAGGAGGTTCCTGGGCAGAGGCTCTGCCCCAGGATCCCTTGGGGAGCCGGCTCCATCCTCTTCCTGACCTTCTGGAGCTTTGGCTGTGGCAGAAGGAAAGAGCAGGACAGGACGGAAGCAAGCTCTGGAAAGTGGGAAGAGGAGGGTGTGTGTGGAGACCCAAGGCAGGCGGGATCCAAGCTTTGGAACGTTAGAGGTTTCCGGCCACAGAGGCAGAGCCTCGGGGGAGCCAGGAGAGGCGGGGAGAGACACACACAGAGGAGCGGAGACCAACGGACCACGGACGAGACAGGAGTTGGGAGTTGGGAGGAGAGGGACCAGAGAGAAGCTGGGAGAGGCACGGACCAGGGGGCTGGTGATCTGCACACACTCCAGTCCCCAGAAACATCCCGCTCCTCAGAGACATCCTCCTGCAGCCTTTGGTGCTCCGAGCCCAGCCTGATGCAGGCAGCCTGGCTCCTCGGGGCTCTGGTGGTACCCCAGCTCCTGGGCTTCAGTCATGGAGTTTGGGGAGCCCAGCGGGAGTGGGAGGGGGGGTGCGCTGGCCCCCAGGAGGAGGAGCGGGAGAGGGAGGCCCTGATGCTGAAGGTGAGTTAGGGGAGTGCTGGGACTCTAGTGGGGGGACGCGACTGGGTGACTGTGGGCTTGGGAGGGGCGTATTTGAGGGTCAGGGAAATGGGCAACGGGAGGGATGGGTTAGGCTCAGAGGATGAGGGTGACGGGTTCAGAGTAGGGGCTCGGGGCAGAGAGCCAGCTTACAGCTGGAAAGGGGTGGCTGGAGTGTCTGGGTGGTCAGAATGCAGCTGCCAGGCTGGCCCTGACCATCCCTCCCCTGCCTCAGCATTTACAGGGAGCCCTGGGACTGCCTGCTAGGAGGGGGGATGAAAATCCTGAGGGAAACCCTGAAGGCAAAGGGGCCTGGGCGACTGAGAAGGACGGTCAGGGGGAGGAAGGCGAGGAGGAACCAACCACAACTCCCTACTTTAGCCCCAGCCCCTCTCCCACCTCTGAAGACACCTTCACTTATATCCGTGAGTAATCATTAGCTCCGCCCTGCCCCCAGGCCTCCGTGGTCATTTTCACAAAAACGAACCGTCCTATCACTGCCCCGGGGTCTTTCAGTTGCCCACTGCCCAGCTCGGAGCCCCTATACCCCCAGGAGCTCCGGATCCCCGGCCTTGCCTCCCAAGAGCCCGGAGCCACCGGGCCCTACCGTCCAGGAGTCCTGAGTACCCCACCCCCACCCCAACTCCGCCCCAGAAGCCCTAGGTCCCGGTCCCCCCAGGTCCTCTGGTCCCCTGGCTCCGCCCCCAGGGTCACGGTCCAGCGCGCGCCCTGTCCATACGCAGTGGGTCGCCTGGCCGGCCTGGACGCAGGCCTGCACCAGGTGCACGTCCGTCTGCACGCGTTGGACACCCGCGTGGCCGAGTTGAGCCGGGGGCTGCGGCAGCTGCGGGAGGTGGCGGGTGACACCCGCGACGCCTTGCAAGCCCTGAAGGAGGCGCAGAGCCGCTCCGAACGCGAGCATGGCCGCTTAGAGGGTGAGTCGCACCGTGCGGGGCGGGGAAAGAGGGACGATCCGGGTCAGATGGGGGACTGGTGGCAAAAGGGGTCCGGAAAAGTCTGAGGAGACGTGAGGGCCCTGGGTGTCAGGGGCGAGGGGGTTCTTGCAGATTTGGGGTGTGTTGGCTGATGGGGAGGGTGAATGCGGGGAGCAGACGGGCTTGTGGGGAGGAACACTCCCCACGGTGCTGTTGAGCCGAAACTACTCCGGCCGCACCACGCCCCCTACAGTCCCGCCCCAACAGTCTGGCCCCGCCCCTGGCGGACCTGACGCAATCTCCCAGCCCCTGGCGGTTCTGACCCCGCCTCCGCTCCGCCCTTGAGACACTAATCCCACCTCCGCTCCGCCCCGCCCGCAGGCTGCCTGAAGGGGGTGCGCCTTGGCCACAAGTGCTTCCTGCTCTCGCGCGACTTCGAGGCTCAGGCAGCGGCGCAGGCGCGGTGCGTGGCGCGGGGCGGAAGCCTGGCGCAGCCGGCGGATCGTCAGCAGATGGAAGTGCTTACTCGCTATCTGCGCTCGGCGCTTGCCCCCTACAACTGGCCCGTGTGGCTGGGTGTGCACGACCGGCGCGCCGAGGGCCTCTACCTCTTCGAGAACGGCCAGCGCGTGTCCTTCTTCGCCTGGCACCGCGCCCCAAGCCCCGAGCCCGGCGCCCGGCCCAGCGCCGCGCCGCACCCGCTCAGCCCCAACCAGCCTAACGGCGGCGCGCTCGAGAACTGCGTGGCGCAGGCCTCGGACTACGGCTCCTGGTGGGACCACGACTGCGAGCGGCGCCTCTACTATGTTTGCGAGTTCCCCTTTTAAGCGGGCCCGGCCCCCCGCCTCTCCACTCCATCCCACCATCCGCCCTTTGTGGCCGATCCCTGGGGGGCTCCTGCGGGACCGGGACCCCTTCCTTGCCTGTCTTTCCTGGAAGCGGTGGGCACCAGGCTAGGTCCGGCGCCAATAAAGCCTTGTGGAATCTGACTTGAGCGGGCAGTGGAGGCACTTTTGGCCTTTATCCCTCTGCGGGGCAAGGCAGGAAGGGCAAGGTCCCGTCCCCCTTTTACAGGTATTGTTTGAGCCCCAGATCAGAGTGATGGACAACACGTACATATGTACACACGGTCATCCGCTACTGCACACACATGTTTGGACTACACGGGTGCACACGCTGCTGACGCCTCCACCCCCATCGTGCCCCACTCAAGGCCTTTGGGACCCAGGGCCTGTCAGTCATTGTCCCAGGCCTTGGCCTTGGTCCTGATCAAAGAGATCTGGGAGGCACAAAAGAGCTAAAGGCTCTGACAAGTCCTGCAGGAAAGACCCCCATTTAATTTTTTTTAGTGTGTCTCAAACTTGTTTCACCAGATCGTACCATCATGTCACGTAAAGTCATGACATTATGGTCATGACTACTCCCTTCCCCTTCCCCCAACTCCAGAGCACGTGTTTAGACACAAACATGAGGACCTACCTAGCCTTGGAAGCTTAGGCTCCCTCCCAATTGATCCGTCCTCCACTCCCTGCCTGTGAGGCCATGAGCCAGTCCCTCCCTCCCTCTGAGGCTCAGTTTCATCTTCTGAACATGGGCACATTATCCCTACCTTGTATGGCTCTTGGGATGTTCACATGAGCCCAGGAAAGTGAGCATTTGGGAAATGGTGGAGCATAAGCCACACACTACATTTTCTTCCTCACCATTAATCCCCTGGGGGCAGTGAGGACACCCAGACCCATCTTGGGCTCAGCACTGTGGACAGCACTCTTTGGAGGAAGAGCTCTTTTGGAAACACCCAGTGTCTCCCCACATACTGGCATCAGGGTCTGGACCCTGATATCCTCACAGAGCCCAGGAATCGGAGTGTGACCCTGTCTGTCCTTACATCTCTGTCCCTTCCCCTTCATCAGCCATGGCACCACCCACCTAAAGTGTCACCATTGGATCTTCCAGTGGGAGGAATGAGCCACTCCGTCATCTCCAGAAGGGGGGAGCACAAGCCACCCACTCCCTTTAGGAGTCATTTCTCAGCCCCACAGGCCCCATAGGAGGTACAGAAGAAGGGGGGTGGCCTCTGGTCAGGAAGGCTTCGATCAGGGGACTGAAGACTTTGCTCAAAATTCATCCCCCCGCTAAGCTTGTTTCCCGGGGTTGCAGTGGGGCAGCAGGATGTCTTACAGAAAATCAAAGGGCAGATTAGGCAGACATTGATGAATGTCTGCTATTGCTTGGGAGAGGTCCACCCTCACAGACCTGAAATTCTGGGAAGTCAGTGGATGGGGGCAGTTCAATGGTTACCTGCCTAGATTCTGAGCCAGATGGCCCAGGTTCTAATCCTACCTCAGCCACTTAACCTGTGCAACTTGAGGGAGACATAACTTTGCTGTTCCTCAGTGTCCTCATCTGTATAATGGGGGTGATAACATCTGCCTCCTAGAATAGTGCCAGACACAGAGGGGCCTTTGTAACATCAGCTCTGATCCTTACCCGGCTATTTTAACCTCACCTTCACCTCTGCTTGCTCTCTCCAGACACTGTCTTTGCATATGCAAAAGTCCAAGAATTGGCTAATGTGTCACCCTGAACAACCTGCCTACCCCCTAGCTCCCACAGCAGGGTTAGGTGCTGCCTTTGGTGCTCCAGAACCCCTGACTCCTCTCATGACCTAGCTCACCCTGATCAGCCAGACTGGGCACCCTTGTGGGGCAGGGCTGGGTATGACCAGCTCTGCGTCCCCAGCATCCCTGGCATGTGGGAGTTCTTTGAATGAAGGAAGATGCCTGTGTGGGGCCATGTTGGGAACCCTAAGATGAACTGGATTTCTAACTGCTTCTCTTCCTCCCTGGCGTCCCCCAGGCCTCAGTCGGGTGACTCACCTGGGCTCCCACTGGGTCGGGGGCTTTCCTCATCAAGCCTTCCATCACTCTAGGTGCCACTGTTTGGTCAGTATCTGTCATACTAGCCCAGGGAAAAAGAGTTGTGGACAAAGAGACGTCCGGGGTGGGGAGTAGAGGGCATTTGCAAGGAAGGTTAACGCATCAGATCAGCTCGCCTGTACGCTGCTTTCTGGGCTGATTCCGGTCTGCATATGGGAACCCTGCTACCTTCTCCAAGAAGCTCTCCCAGGCCTCTCAAGGGCGTTTGCCAATGCCACCTCTTTTGGCTCTCTGTGGAGCACCTGCCGTTTGAGAGCTCCGAGCCGCGGACCGGAGAAGGCCTCGGCAGTTGGTCGGGTTCGGTGAGTTAAGGGATCCCAGGGAAGTGATGGAGGAAGGGCGCAAAGCCTGAAATGACCCAGCGGGAAGATGAAGAACCAGGGCTCCACCGGCCTGCCAGGACTACGAATCCCAGGAGGCTGAGCGGCAGGCCCTCCACCTCCTGCCCAGAACAACATTTCCCAGCAGCCATCGTGGGCTTCATGCAGATCCTCTCTCAAGCCCCGCCCCCTCCTCCACGTGAGGCTCGCCCACATTTCCCTGCAAGTTGGAGGACCACACCCAGTCTCCAATCAGAGCTCGGACCCTGGCTCCCCACCCACCAGGTCTCACCCCGAGGTACGTTGGGAAATGTAGTCCGGTCCCGAGTCAACGGAGCGAAAACATGAATCGGCGGGGTCTAACATTCCGTTAGGCTTAGAGTGTAATGGGTGCTCAGATCTTTACTACGAGAGTGTTTCAAAATATGGGTGAATTTCCACGGGTGTATCATAACCATTTTTTAAAAAGTGAAATCATAGAAAATATCAGAATGAAGAGAAAGTGGAAAGAAATAGTTCTCATAATTTAAGTTCTTGAGTATGTACTGAATTACAATATAAAACGCAACATAAAAATTCTTCCTTTGGGGCTTCCCTGGTGGCGCAGTGGTTGAGAGTCCGCCTGCCGATGCAGGGGACGCGGGTTCGTGCCCCGGTCCGGGAGGATCCCACATGCCGCAGACAATTAAGCCCGTGTGCTACAACTACTGAGCCTGCGCTCTAGAGCCCGCAAGCCACAACTACTGAAGCCCGCACGCCAGGACGCCTGTGCGCCTAGAGCCCGTGCTCTGCAACAAGAGAAGCCATTGCAATGAGAAGCCCATGCACCACAACGAAGAGCAGACCCCGCTCGCCGCAACTAGAGAAAGCCCGCGTGCAGCAACAAAGACCCAACGCAGCCAAAAATAAAATAAATAAATTACTTTAAAAAAAATTCTTCCTTGGCCTGCAAAAGATTTGCTAAAAGACTAGTCCAAACCAATTTAGCCCCTTTTAAAAGAACCAAAACTTTTTATTTGGAAATAAATTCAAACTTACAAATAACTTGCACAAATAAAAATAATATTTTGTATATGTCCTTTACCCAGATTTATTTATTGTTAACGGTTCACCCCATTGCTTTAGCTTTATCATCCTCAATCTATTGTCAACCTGAAAAAATAAAGTAGCAAGTTATTTTACCAGCAAAATGAGTTTATTCAGGAATAGCAGAAGAATTACAGTTCGAGCAGAGAAAGCTGTGGTGAACCACAGGCAAGTCCGAAGAGGTGGACAGCAGGTCAGCTTTTATTAGGTTTCAGGAGGAAATTGGGGAGGGTTGTTTTGAATAAAAGTTTATTGGAGAAGAACAAGACTTTGAGGTTGTGGTGGTTTCTTTCTTTTCTTTTCTTGGCTTTGCCACAGGGCATGTGGGATCTTGGTCCCCCAGCCAGGATCGAACCCACGTCCCCTCCATTGAAAGCACAGAGTCTTAACCACTGGACTGCCAGGGAAGTCCCTGTGGTGGTTTCTTGTTGACTGCAAGCAGTGGTTAGTGGTTCTTGCTGGGGCAAGGAGGAATCCTCCTCCCTTTATCTTAAAACCAGGAGGTGAAATTCCCGTGTGAAAAAATGTACTCTCCTGTCCCAGAAGGAAAAAAGTAACATTCTTATCATCATGCATAAGAAGTTGAGACCAAGAGAATTTTGTACAAAGAATTCTATATGAGCAGACCTTGTTAAAATAATTTTTATCTCCCTTCTTCCTTCTGGTTATGCAGGCTGCAATGTGTGGTATATGCATGAGAGCTCTCTCTTCTGGGCTTTCTGAATTCATTTTAAAATGAAGTTTTCCTCTATTTTCACTCTCTCTATTTATCTATCTATCCATTCAACCATCCAGCCATCCACTCATCACCCACCACTCCATCCTAACCCAATCACCAGGGACAAACCAAAGTCAGGTTTATTGACTCACTGCAGTGAAAGAAACCACGTCCCAAAAAAGGAGCTGGATCGAGCTATAGAATTTGGAGGAGGAAAGGAATTTGAATGAAATTTAAGTGAAGCTGTGTTTTAATAGCTTGGGAGCAAAGCAGGGATTTGTATAAATGAGTCAACATCAGGTCTGGACTGCAAAGTGGACTCAGGGTCCTGTTTCCTTGGAAACTACAAAGTTAAGACAAATGTGGCATGTTGTGTCTAGAAACTCTATCTAAAGCTCTGTATCAGGGCTGGAAATGGAGGCTTCTTGTCTGTGTCAAAGTGACTTACATCTTACAGGCAAGAGTAGGATGTTTACTTATTATTAATTATTACTTTTTTTGGCCGCGTGGCACTGGCTTGCAGGATCTTAGTTCCCCAACCAGGGATTGAACCCAGGCCATGGCAGTGAAAGTACCAAGTCCTAACCACTGGACCGCCAGGGAATTCCCTGTTGAATTCTTATGGCTATAATTTCAAATTTCAAATTTCAAGTTTCCAAAAGCCTATGATTTTTGAGAACTAAGCTTCTCAGTGAGTAAAATAGCCCTAGTCACCCATAAAGGGAGTTATTAGAACACTACAGCTGCAGCATATCCCCGGCGCG